GCGCGTCGAGGTGCGTGGCCTCTCCGCCATGGCGCAGGCGGAGTCACTCCGCTTTAAGCTGCTGAGCAACCTGCAGGTGCGCCGCGCCGCCATGGGCATCGTCCGCCACGTGATGGAGTGCGGCGCCAAGGGGTGTGAGGTGACGGTGGGCGGCAAGATCAAGGGGCAACGCGCCAAGAGCATGACCTTCCGCGACGGCTACATGATCAAGTCGGGTACGGCCCACAAGAACTTTGTGGACGCCGCAACACGCCACTGCCACCTGCGTGCCGGCACCATTGGCGTCAAGGTGAAGATCATGCTCCCCACAAGCATGAGGGGCGAGGATGAGATCCTCCCCGACGTGATCACCGTCATTGAGCCCAAGGAGACTGTGGCTTAATGCAGGTGGACACAGAACACGGGGACACTCCACCATTACGACCACCTTCACCCCTTTTGATGGACCCGTCTCTTCTTTGTTTTTATTTTTCTCTTTTGTCATTTCATCTTACCTGCTCTTTCGGGGTGCTGTATAGCACCCTGCTGCTCTTGGAGCGGAATCCATGCTTCTTTTAATACGCTTTGGAGGTGCGCAGCATTTTGTTGCAGCTTTGCTTCCTTCCTTCCTATTTCTTTCTCTTTTTTTCTTTTTTTGTTTTGGTTTATGTGTGTTTGATGCGTGGTCCTTCACGCCCCCTTCTCGTGGCGGAAGCGTCGCCCGTGTCCTGCGTCCTGTTGGCGGGGAGAGGACGGCGAGGGGGAATAGTGAACGTTGGCGCAAAGAACAACGTACAGGCGCCTATACACGTATATGCATATATACATACATTTGCACTGGGAAGTACCGTGAAGAGGAACGGTGAGGGGGAGGGCGGTAGTTCTGCTAGCTTTAAGCAGACAATAGAAAGAGAGGCAGAGGGTAAGTGGGAAGGAGAAAAAAAAAAGTGGAGGGTTTATCAAGGAGATGCCAACGCGTATGCATCTCCAACCCATTCGCCTATCGGCGGGTGATGACAGTCTGCAAACAACCTACTCCTCCAGCTTTGGGGTTAAAGACGAGCTCAAGTTACTCAGCGGCACGACACGTGTAACTTTCCCTGCCTTGGCGCATGACAAGGGGGCGCTCAATGGAACTCCTAGCAGTGTGCTGGCGGCAACCGGTCGTGAGAGGTCGCCGTTTGGTAGTCGTGGAGACCCATTTGCTTCCAGCATCGATGTGCTGAATGAAACTTCCTTCACGGATAGAGAGACGGAGATGTCACACTTGGAAATTGGCCTCGGCTCGACATCCCGCCCCTCGGAAACCGATGATATGGAGGGACACGATGCGAAGGCGATGCAGGAAGTCCTTCTAGGCGCATTTCCTGAATCGTTGAAGCACATCACGACCGATGAAGCGTCCGTGGAGGCACTCACTTCCGATAACGCGGAGGGGGCAACTGACAGTGGGTACCATCGACAGTTTACAGAATTTGTTCTCCGTGAGGTGCATAGTTTATTGCTGTCAGTGGCCTCCGCCAACGAGGTGCGGCTGCGATACTTGCTGCGACAGAATGTACTGGATATGGAGGGAGCCAACACGAAGGCATTACAAGCGGCTATAGCGGAGGAAAGTGCACGGAGCCTCTCTGAGTGGGGTGATGCATGGTACCAGGCCCCGCATCCTACAAGTGAAGTGCTGGTGGCAGTCACTGTGCGTCCCCCGCAGTTTGCAGCAGGAATGTTGTGGAATGGTTGCGATTCCTTCCTTCTTGGTGGCACCGCTTATTTGCAGGAAGGCCGCGTCCTACAGATCCGGCTGCCGTGCTCCACGAAATCCATGGAAAGTGCCACGACATCGCCATCTACTGGGGCGAGTCAAGCGAATTGCGATGCCGGTAGCAGAGGTGGTGATGGGGGTAATGGACAAAAGTGTGCGGTGCGCCTTCTACTTAGAGAGTTTATCTCCGTCTCTAAGGTAGGAATGGGGTCTATGATGCAAACCTTTTCGCTCATCCCTGAGCATGTGTCCGTGAAGGTTACACGAAATCAGACGTTGCAGTATGGTCTTATTCAAACAGTTTTGGATCAGTGTGCCCCAGGGGCGGTGTCGCGTGCCTTTTCTCTTCAAATGCTCCTGCCAACAAACTTGCGGTGTGGAATCAAATTACCCTTACTTGAGGTGGCGAAGGAACCCTGTGCTGCAAGCAACCGCACTGCAGAGGGGGCCCCAACTGGTGATGGGGAACTGCAGAGTAAAGAAATTGAGGAGGGGCACTCGCTTTCAATGACTCAGAGGCCGTCCTTCATCACAGATAAATTAGGCCCTATTTCCGCAAAGGTGTTTAAGCGCCAACCGTTGGGAAATGAGGCATACCTGGTGTACACGAACCCTAAGCTCTACGCGTTGGTCATGAAGCACTCTCCGGCCGTCCTGACAGCTAATACAAATGCTATTCGTGAATATCTGAAGTATAGCCAACGTCTGCGGTTTCAACGACTAGTGAGGCAATTGCTTACTGCTGTTTACACTATACAACGTTTTTTTCGTCACTGTATCGCGAAGAAGCGACGTGCGGTGAGCTGCATGCTGAAGCGCTGGGGGCAGCTAGAGCTGGATAGCAGGGAACAGTTGAAGAAGTACACGCTTGCTCCTGCCACAGTCGATCGCATTGGCTTCATTGTTGGCTCCGTGCTCTGGCAGCACATTGTAACCACGAGGGAGTACAAGATGGCCATGTTAGAGGAGCAATTTTCGCTGCGACGGGCGGCGTATCGACGGTGGTGTGCGCAGCGCCTGGAGGAGGACCTGGCGAAGTACAAAACTGCCCGAAGAACGAGCTTGTCTGCGAGCCTTATGACGGACTTGGGGGCCACAGAGAAGGCAAGCAGTACCGCTTGTTCCGAGCTCGCGGGGGCGTCCGCGGTGCAGGGAGGGAAGGTGATCGATGTCACCCTGGGGAGGTCACACCATCGATGGATTTCTAACTGGGAGTGCGTTCTGCACGCGCGCTTTGGGTGGTACATCGATCCTGAGGAGTTGCTGCAGGAGAGTCACCGCCGTTTGTTGATTTCTCTGCGGAACTCCATCCTGACAATGGCTGACGTGCAGGAGGAAATGAAGAAAAAGGCCAAGATAGCGCTCGTCCCGCTTTGATTGCTAGTGTGGCGAGGTGCGGATGCTAAAATAACGTGGCAGCCGGAGATGTCAAGTTTTGGGTCAGTGACTTCTATATATCTAGTTCTCTTTATTTATTTATATGTATGCATACTACATTTCTTTTCTGTTCTCGGTTTGCCTCCTCTTCCGCTATGGTTGTCTAGTCTCCTTTTCAGGCTGTAATGTGGGCCAGTTGTGCAGCATGTTTCTCTTGTTTTGTTTTTCAATGTGCCTTGGGGAACTTCTTGCATCCCCAGAGGCTCTATTGCCGTTGCCTTCTTACCAGCATGGGGGTAGCTGTGGATGCGCCTGGTTGTCGGTCTCTGCGTGCGTGCGTGCGTGTGTGTCCCCGCCTGTGATCCCTCGTCAAGAGGTCTGGTGTGCGGGAAATAGGGCGTGACATGTGACGGGATCAAACAGCGGCGCCGGCACGCAGAGGCGAAGAATAATGGCTACGCTGATGCAGCTACAGGGGCCAGAAGTCTCTCCCACCCCACCACAGCCAACAGGGGGTGGCTCCTCTTGCGTTACAGCTAGTTTGTTTCTTTTTTCCTCTTTCATTTCTTTCCATGTGTGGCGTCGGTGGCTTCGCTAGATGCAGGAAAAGCGTGGTGCATGCAATGATGAGGCGAGCCCTCCTCTTTCCTCTTCGAGGTTGGCGGCGTTGCGTCACACGCGACTGTTGCCGCGCAGCATTCCTGCCTCATTCGCCCTGCGGAGTCAGTTGATTGGCGCGGAGTTTTGCGCTTCACTTTCCGCTGCGATGTTGCAGCTGGCGCCGCGTGGCGTGCGCACTGCCACGGCGGTGACGGGGGCCACCTCACCTGCGACTGCCCTCCTTTATGACCTGTCGGCGCACTACGGGTCTCACACGCTGCGCAGGGCGGCAAGTTACCCGCTGGGGCCGTGCTACAGCAGCCGGCAGCGGCGGGTTTCGAGGAGTCAGCACGATGGACGCCGGCAGCTGTGGTCGTTGCGTGCGGCCCACCGTCTGTGGTGCCGCCGCTGCGGGGTGTACCTTGCGGCAGGGGAGACGAAGTTGCTGCTGCCCCGGGCGACGCCGGGCCCGCTCCAACTTCCTGACGACGCCGCTGCTGTGACTGCCCCTGCTGTGGAGGGGTTGAAGCAAAAGGGCATAGCCTCCAGAGGGACGTATGTGTGCCGCCGCTGCCTGGACAGTGAGTGGGCGGCGTGGAGGAAGAAGGGCTGCCTGACCACGCCGCCGCCGCCACTCGCAACGCCCCTTGCTTTTCCGCAGGCCTCGGAAGCAGCAGACGAACCGGCGGCGCCGAATGCCTCCGACATTAGGCGTGAATCAGTGGTCGCACAACTTGCCGTCAGTGTGGGCCGCACACGAAGGCGGAAGCGCAAGAAGCGTGGAGGCGTGGCGAGGACTGCCGCGCCAGCAGTGGGGAATGCATCCGCCAGTCTAAAGGCAGCTGCGCGTGCTGTTCCTAAAGGCTCCTTGTCGCGCGGCAAGAGAAGTCGTACGACGGCCCCCAAAGACCCCGTCCCTCTCGCGCAGGAGCGTTTCAAAGTTAACTTTTCTGGTGCGCAACGGGACACCAGCAATGCGGCTCCAGTGCGGAAGGCGGCTCGAGTCGAGGGCTCTCCGGCGACTTTGACAGTTGCCCCGCGTGCGCTACAGAATGAGGCGGCGAGAGCTGAAACTGAAGCCAAGTCGCAGGTTCCCACAGGCCCTCGAAAGTCCGTAACAAAATCCCGTCGTTCCACTTCAAAAGGTGGCAATAACTCGAAAGAAACTCCCTCTTCTGCGAACACTTTTACGGACACACTGTCAAGACTCGGTCTGTAGCAAAAATTTTGCTTCCTGTTGCTGTTGGTATTTTATTTCCGCTTCACTTCTGTCATGCGTGTGTGTATGTGTGTGTGCATATTTGCTTCGTGTAAACCCTCCCAAATCATTACTTTCTGCACACGTGCTCTCACTTTCTCCTTCTCACTTGCGCCCATTTACGCAAACAACCACGTTTCCCAGTGTAGTGGATTTTTTTTTTTCGGTGATCCAACTACCTTTAGTGTTGGCCGGATGTCATTGCGGCTTTCATTTCACGCCCACTCGGTGTCGCCTGTGAGCATTAACTTTGACGCGTTGGAGGCGTACGTTGCCGGACTTTCTGCAGAGGAGGCCCTGCAGTACATACTAGACGCATGCGTGACGTGTACCACCGGTAGCGACAAAAACGAATTCGACAACCCGCCAGAAAGTGGCTCCTTCGATAGCCGTCGCTGTGGCGTGGCGGAGCCTCAGCGGAACTCCGAAGGGGATCTGTCGCTGCATCTTAGCTTCTCTGACCTCGGGGGGCCGGCGCCCGCGGAGGTGGGAATGACAAGTGACGCGGCGTGTGCAACGCCCGGCGAGGAGGAGGGGGAGAAGCACACAGGCGAAGCAGCGGTCAGCAACCATGGGAACGAACAGGCGGCGGATTTGCTTGGCCGACGCTTTTTCGCGGACCCTGCAAGTTGTACATTTCATCGAGAGCTTCAGCGGAGCCTTTCAGACATGGTGAGAAGCGACAACTCCTTTTTGCGGCAGGAGGTGCTGGAACAATACGTTCTCTTTGACATGTTCCGTGAGAACTACTTGGCGACCCCCTATAGCTTTCTCTCAAGCTACTCCGTTCCAATGACATTGCAGGAGCGTCACCGCATGGTGGAAGTCTTTTACAGTGTTGATGAGCTGGTGCTTAAAACGTTTTTTGGTGATCGGATGCATAAACTGGAACTTGAGCGCGGATCAGAAAAACTGTTCTTCTTCCGGACCCGGGCTAGTCACAGTCAAGGCATACAAAAACTCATGGAGGCAGGCGTCAGCGAAGGATCGTTGAGGCGTCAGTGGGAAAACCTAAAGTGGGTGTGTAATTTCCTCATCTCCGCCTATCGTGGTCGTGATGGGATGCTGATTCCCTACAACACGCCCCTGCTCACCGCGCTGCAGCAGTGCTTTGCCCTACGTGGACCCCTTGGGGTGCACTACGGGACATTTGTCTTTGGCTTTGAGCATCACCTAAATGGACGTTTCTGGCACCCGTTGTCGTATTCCGAGTGCACCACCGCCTGCCAGGCACTGTCGTTGTGGTGTGATGCCTCGCAGCTGATGTTGCGCGAGGAGTTCACCGTCCAATGTGCCCGCATCGCCCGGTTGTTGGACGAAAATCGTGTGGTGGCGGAGATGCACCAACTTATATTTGGAGAGGCAATGCGCTCGCGCTGGCAGGTGCAGTTTGACGAAGTTCAACGCGCGATCACAAGTAACACAGGCGTGGGGACGAGCGGAAGCCCTCTTGGGCCCACGTTGGTGGGGGCGGCGTTGCCGTCGCCCACGACAACGGTTCCGCATGCCCTTCTGCCACGAAACACAAGTACGGTGCGGCTAGACACTGAGGCACAATTGGGGTTATCAGCCTCCTCGACAGCAGCTGCCGCTTCACTGAAGTCCCAACGTTCATCTACGCCCCAGTTTCAAACACCGACGCTACCGCATATAAATCCTGCGGTCCCGGGATCGAATAACGGCGGTCGCCCCGCTACAGCGCCCTCAACCGCTGCTGCCTCTGCTGCTCCTATTGCTGCGCCCAATAGCAGCCACACGCCTCAAGTTGGTGCCGTCACGGGAAACACGCAGGCTTCCGCGGCACACCGCCCTCATCTCTCCTCCAATGGTGCCTTTACGCGACTCTTTCTTCAGGAGTTCCCTTTTATCATGAAGTTTTTGTTTCGCATGGCCACAACGATAGGAAATTCGGGGAGATTGGCAGAGGCATTGGACCTGTTTTACGTCCGAGTTTACCTTCAGCTTTTGAACTTGGGCTGCCGCTCGCACAGTAAGCAGTTTGTCGATCTTAGTAGCCTGTCTCAGGGAGCCCTCTCAGCCGAATTGGATAGCTTTGCGGAGTTGGCGGAGTTGATGGAGCCCTGCTCCACCGCGAGTAGCAGCAGCGCAAGAAGAGCCCCCACGACCACGGCGTTTCTGCGGGGCGAGGAGGGTTCCACCGGCAACCCTGCCAGGGCGCATCTGTCGGAGACGGAAGAAAAATTGGACGTGCTTGCGAATCTGCCCATGAATGCCGTGGTGAACACTTCACTTGTGAGCCACGCGGTCGCGTTTTCCTCCCGGCGTCCGCCCATCCAGGCATCACCACATCAACCGCAGTCAACGACTCACAATCTCGCCAACCACGTCGCTGGGACGGTTGACAGCCGAATTTACCTTTGTGAGTTGTGCATGCTGTTGAGTTTGCTGCCGAACGTGTTTAGCGGCCTTACAACCCTCACCGAGGAGGATCATGCGGCGTGCGACACCGAGTTTGCCAACTTCGTTCTGACACTTAAGATTTTGGTGCAGATCCATCTGGCCTCCGATGACAACTAAGCCTAGTTGGAAAGAAAAACAAAAAGAAACAGTCCCCTTCCGCTTGGCTTCAGAACATTACTCGTTATTTCTTGTGCACGCACGCACCTGGACTGCGTTTCATATCTTTTTTCCCCCGTTTTTCTTCCTATTCATTTTTTTTATTATCGTGTTTTCTTTGGGGGTTTTCTCCCCTTAAAGTTAAACGCTTTGAAAGGAACCAAGGCGCTTTGCCGGAGAGAGGAGACGGCTTGGGGGCGATAACGCAAGGACTCGTGAAGAGCAACAATTTCCCCTTCTCTGTCTCACACACAACGAAAGGGAAGGAAAGGGAAGACGGGAGACTACCATCAGAAGCAAACTATATATATATATATTTGCACTCGTTAAGAAACGAAAAAAAAAGAGAACGAAGGAATTGAAAAGAAGGCACAATAGAAAAGGTAAAGAAACCGATTTTTCTCCTCTCAAGGATACTGCTACGGATATATCCTTGCATGTATGCATATATATATATATATATCTACAAGCATCAATAGCTAGATATAGTGACATACACTCCAATGGTCACTGGAGCACAGAACATCTTCTTGGATCGCGTTGGACACGCTGAGGAGCGTGGCCCATCCACGTGCGTCAAGCGTTTTGGTGGTGGGAAGCCGCGTGACCTGAACGGTTTGCTGCTGGGTTCGCGACCATCTAGCCCAAGCCGTGCGCCGTCGCCGGAGAACGTGCTGCGTAGCAGGCCCGTGTCGCGGCAGTGTTCACCAACTGCGCGGTCCGTTGGAAGTGTGGGGATCTCCGTCTCCAAGCAGAGTACTGGCCGCAAGGATAAGCGTCTCTTGGTGTTGCTGCATCCAAAGGATGAGGAAGCGTTCTTTCAGTCCCCACGAACGATGAAGCCGAATGTTGAGTATTCTCAAAAGAACCCTGCCGGTGCCGAGGAAGCTGGTGAACCCGACCTACAAGAGGCTGTGGAGGATGACACCGTTGCGACACAACAGGGCATTTGGACGCAGCCCCTGGAAGAGCGTTTTTCGCTGGAGGACCTACGGCGGCTCATGCACTTTTTCTCAGTGGATTCAAACTTTTTTGAAAACAACACAGTGGAGCTAACAGCAGAACCAGACGGGCTCCCGCGTGGAGATAGCATTGGGGACAAAGCTGCGAAGGGTGGTTTTCCCCCGCCAGATGGTCCGTCAGGAGGAGCGGCGACGATGGAGAGTGCCAAGCAGCCCCCGCAATTAGAGGAACGACAAGCCTCATATGAGGCCCAGGCCAAGGAGCATCCCTCACGAGGACCCATTCAAGTTCCCAGGCGTCTTTCTTCCCCAGAGAAAGCACGAGAAAATTTTCAGCACGTACTCTTGCCCTCGAACCCTATGAATCGTGGCTCGGAACATGACGCGTACACTCGTGTTTTATCCGAAAGCGAGTTTGCGCAGGCCGTCAAAATTGTTATTCCTAGTGCTACTGATGCGGAGATAATGGACCTTCTGAGGAAGGTTGACTATGAGGCGAAGGGGTGTACCACGTGGGATGACTTCTCAACGTTTTTGGTCTCACAAAGTCGTCACCGATCTCAGCTTGCTCATGGGCCTGTTTCGGACCTACTCGCAACCCCTGAACCAGATTATTGTCCTCAACGTTCACGGCATACAACGGGAACTTGCATGGAGGCGGATAAGCGGCGTAAACTCCTTTTGACCGGGGGGTCCGAAGGCACCGTACGGGCGTGGGACATCGAGACTCTGGCAAGCCGTGGAATAGTCTTTGCAGGAGATTCCTGGGTCGTTGGTGTGCACTGGGCAACTCAGCTTCAAAGCATTCTTATTGTGACAATGGATCGCAAGGTGATTGTTCTGGACTCCAAAACCTTGGAGGTAAAGCGACTCTACCGTGGACGTGCAATAGTTGACACCATGGATGGCTACCTATACGCCCATGATAGTGTGCAGGCAGTCAAGGTAGGGGGAAAGATTAAGGCAAAGGAAAATAAGTTTGGTCCAAGTGGTGCGGGGGATTTTGGTGTGGCCGCCTCTAGTGATGGCGGTGGTGGAAGTCCAGGCCATTCTCCTGTAGGACGCGCTGGTGAAGCAAAGAAGCGAAAGTTGTCTGGCGTAGCAACCTCGTTGGTGCCACCCAATACTGGCCCTTATGTGCAAAGCCGCGTGGAGGAGTGTATGCTTGCGGGCCTCGTGGATTCCGTGTCGTGCTCACTGTTTCACCATTCCCGGCTGCGAGAAGACGTGTTACTTCTCGCAACGGTAATGGGAGAGGTTAGATTCTACGTGATTCCGAAAAGCTCACGCAGGGTGGTCTCCCCATATGTGGTGGTTCAACTGCATGAGAGACGCATCAACAAAATGTGTTTCCTGTTTGACAATAGTTCACTCCTCACTGCGTCAGATGATGGTGTAGTGAAGATGACTTCCTTGGAAACGGGGGTCCTCTTACGAATCTTCTTTTCCTCGGGCGCGAGTCAACACTCTGCCGTGCATGATTTTGCGGTGAATACGCAATTGCGTCTGCTTGTGACCGTGGGCCCAGAACGTTACGGTATTGTCTGGGACTTTTCGCATGACGCACCGTTGGCCATACTAGATGCGCACAATAGCCCATGCCGCTGCTGTGCGGTGCATGTGAAACAGAGTCAAATCTTTACTGCGGGCATAGATGGATCGATTTTTGTCTTTGACACACAAGGGTATCGTTTGATGCAGGTGATATATGTGCACAAACTTCGTCCTCAGTACATTGTGTACGATGAAATCAGAATGCGGCTGCTCTGTTTAGCTTCCCACCCTTACTACCATGGGAAACAGCGTCATGCGGCGTTTACTTGTTCAAACAAATACCAGGGTCATATGGCATCTATGGTAGGCGTAATATACAATAAAACATACGATCTCATTGTCACCATTGATATAGAAGGGTTTGTCATGACCTGGAAAAGATGTAATGGGAGTCCTGTCTTTGCTTTTCAATTGAAGGATTTTTCGGATTCCGCTGTTATGAATGCCGCACGTCTTTCTGCCATTACCTTGGACGTCTTAGAGCGTCGATTACTCACTGGGTTTCAGAATGGGGCTGTGGCCGTGTGGAACTTAGTAAATGGACAGACGACGAATGTCATCACAGCAGCCACAGAGAGTTTTGCCACAACCACGTTAATACCAGAGGTGACGTCGCTTGGGTCACTTATGCGGGATGGAACCACGTTTTTATTCTTTGCAGCGGCCGGGCATCTCTTCTCCACGAGAGAGTCTAGCACCTTCACCATTGCAAGTGCAACCAAGTGGGAGGTGCCAGAGGGCTACGGAGATATTCTATTCATGTTGCCGGTGTCTTTGCAGATTCTCGTTTGCGCAACCTCCTCCGGTGCACTTTTTTTTATCACGTGTTGGCTGAGGGTCAGGTGGGATCCGCGCTGTGGGTGACGGAGCCGACGGAGGCTCCGCAGCGTCCTCTTTCCATCTCCTCCGAGAGGCATCGCAGCGATGGGCCCAGTTCCATCCTCACATCGCGTATCATGGCAATCTTCCCATTGCACGCAGTGGGGCCACATATTCTTATGGCTGTACATGTCGATGGCACAGTGGCGTTATGGCACACCCTACGGCGGCTTTTGATGGAAACTGCTAGCGTGCGAAAGGCCTTTCCAACAGGAAGAGGAGAGATGAGCTTAGCAAGCACGGCGATTGATAACACAAACCGGCGTTTTGTGTTTGCCGACGATCGCGGTAATATTCACGTTTGCAGCCTTCAGTTAGAGGCGGTGCATGATAAGGACTCCCTGCGACCGGCGCGTGTTCCTCAGTCACAAAGCCGCACAGGGAGACCGATGGCAGACTGGCCTGGTACTCCCTTCAGCAGCCCCGTCTTTGCCGGTAGCTCCTTGAGGGCGGAGGCCCAAAAGGAAGCGAAAGTCGCTGAACAAACCAATAAGAAGCAGCAACCAGACGGGGCGGAGCAGGAGGTGGATGAGGAGAAAACTCCTTATATATTTAAAAGATTCTGTCAAGATCACGTGTTTCATTGCGGCTTTTCCTCTGTGTCAGGGGTTTGCATTGTCGATGCAAAAACAATGCGCGCTTCCGGAGCAGTCGCAGCAACATCTACAAGCGCAGTTTCGGCTTCACCCAAGTCCAACGGAGAGGCGGGGAGGCAGGCACGTGCGTCCTGGACGGAAGGGGTAGCAGGATCCCCTCTTACTGAAAGGTGTGGTGAAACGTTGGCTGTCAATCTGTCCGAAACCCCCAAATCACCCTTAGGCTCGGAAGACGTGATTGTGGTGTCATCTGGCTCCGACAACTTTACACGAGTGTTTACCCTTGACGGGATGTCTATTGGGGAATGTGGCATGAACACCTGGGTGCTGGGCAAAGAGTCAACGTATGAGTTCCTTGGCGTAAAACCGACAAAGCGACTTCCGGCACACAACAGTTGCGTAGAATCAGTTGACTTTCTTCAGGGAACGCCGTCAGAGGAAAAGACTTCTCTAGTGGGCCCTCGAGGGGCGCGTTTGATACGTACTACGTTAAGAGCAGGCAAACCTCATGGAGAATTGCTCTCAACGAGTGATTTTTCCGTGTGCCGCTCCATGGCAGACACGCAGGAGCCCGGCGCCTTCTCCACTACGCAAAATGCTACTGCTACTGCGCCACCGGAGGTCAATCAAGTGGAATTCCTTACGATGCAGCCGCTGGGTGCAGAGTTGCGGGAGTGGGCGGAAGTGAGACAGCCACCAGCACAATCCCAGGAATGCCCGAGACCGCGATTTCTTCCACAGGCAAAGGCAGCCTTACCTGATGAAGCCGTCACGCTCTCCACACACATTCGCTCACGACGCTTGAGAGAGGGATATCTTTATGGCCTCGTCAAGAATGAATTTATTCCTAAATTGCGTGGATTGCCTTCGAGCGACACTGAGGAGGATTCATCAGTGTCTAGGGCTCAGCCCGGTACGGCAAAGAGCCCCAAATTCGGTGTACGGGTTGAGCAATCGAGTGAATCGTCGTTAGCTGTTTCTGGTGTCTGTAGCCCCAATAGTGAGAATGCTAACAACAAGCGTACGAGTTCCGTGAATGCTGTGGCGGTTGACAGTAATTTGCCAGAAGAGGTGTCGACGTCTCTGGCGTCACGAAGTCACGCCCCACCTGTTTTCGTTCCAGGAGGAACTTCCTCGCATCCCGGTCGAGCAGCAAAGACGCAGGCGGGAACAGTCGCATGGAAGTGGGAATCACATGCAACAAACGACAAGGAGGCGTTACAGCCTCGTGCCTCATCCGCCGCTCGACAGAGTGTTGCATTCACCAACACGACACCCTCTCTGGAGGAGGAGTGTCGGCGACAGGACCTTATTCAGGAGCACCTGGAGGCCCAAAGACGCATGCTGCTCTCACTTGGACGCGCCGACCCCGTCCTTGAAGCTTTGGTGCCCCGCAGCAGCCCAGTGCACAGCAGTGGTGCCTTCTCCGAAGCCGGGAAAATGGGGACTGGCACCCAGCTCTCAGCAACGCGGCGGACTAATACCGTTGACATGATGGAGACGAGGGACCGAATTGCACGGATCACGTCACGGTTGCGGTTGTCTCCTATAGCGCCAATACCACCTCCGTCAGGAATTGGCCCGCGCGAAGATGCCTCCTCATTGAGGGATGGAAAGAAGGACACACACCGTACTACTCGCCTTTGAGGCAGGTGGCGGGATTTGGGGAGGGGACCGCGCAGCTTGAGCCGTCTTGAGCCTCCCAACTGCGCTTCAGCGGATGTAAAATAAATCTCTTGTGTCTGCATTTGTTCAGTATTTTCCTTTCTTTTTTTTCCCTTTTTTGCAGTATATTGTAGTTGAAGCTGGCGGTAGTGGTGGAGGAGGAGGCTTTCTCGAGCGCGCCTCTCTCCGTTGCCGTGCTGACCACCTCCTCCTTTTTTTTGAGCCTCATGCTATGAAGGCGGGCGGGCGGGCGGGCGGGGGGCACCGTGGCGTAAGACGGGGAGTGTCCCACGCCGTGATGTCGCCAATGACCGTAGAAGCTACTTGAGCCCCTTCGCTTTGGTTTTTTATTCTTGCCTTTTTATCCCCGCCTTTTACATCGCGCCGAGTGGCCGGCGCAGTAAAACCGGGGACTGGTAGTAAAATAACTTAGGAGGCCAGAGTAGGGCTCAAAGAGCAAATGGTGGGCACACTCAAGCCGATCATTACGTCCGTGTTGGACACAGATGCATACAAGCTTCACATGCAGCAAGCTGTTTTTCACTTGTACCCCTCCGTTCGCTCAACTTTTGAGTTTCACTGCCGCAATAAAGATGAACATTTGGGTGACGCGGCCGATGATATACGTGAACAAGTGTGTCTCATGCAGAAACTTGCCCTCACAGAGGACGAGTATGAGTACTTGGCGTCGAAACGGTTTCTACGAAAGGACTACTTGGATTGGCTTCGCAACTTTCGGTTCAACCCACGGCAGGTAGCTGTGCGAAGTGTGCCGACAAGCGATGGGAAACAAATGGATCTTGCCATCAGCATTGAAGGTCCGTGGGTGCAGACAATTCTTTGGGAGGTGCCGCTGTTGGCCATCGTGAGCGAAGTGGTGCACCAACGCCGCACACCGAACTTGGGGGTGGCGGAGGCGGTGACGCACCTTGATAAAAAACTGGAGAAATTATTTGCCCATACGCCTCTTGAGACGATAGAGACTTTTACCGTCTCGGACTTTGGAACCCGGCGACGTTACAGCTTTGCCGTGCAGGAGGCCGTTGTAAAGGCGCTCCAGCGGCATCCAAAGTTCAGTCGTTACTTCCGTGGCACGAGCAATTACCTGCTGGCGAAGAATCTGAATCTTCCGGCAATTGGCACGCAGGCTCACGAATGGTTTCAGGCTCATCAGCAGTTGGCTCCCACGTTGCGTGATTCGCAACGGGTGGCCCTGAGGCAGTGGTTGGTGGAGTACCCACATGATCTTGGCATTGCACTCACAGATTGCATCTCCATGGACAGTTTCCTGCATGACTTCAGCAAGGATCTTGCCAATGCATACGTTGGCCTCCGTCACGATTCCGGTGACCCTATTGAGTGGGGGGAAAAGGCGGTGCAGCATTACCGCGAACTCGGCATTGACCCAAAAAGCAAAACACTTGTCTTTTCTGACTCCCTAGACCTTGAGAAGGCCGCGATGCTGCACCGTATCTTTACTAGTGAGGTGAATGTCATGTGTGGAATCGGCACACAGCTCTCCTGCTCCATCCCGGGTGTGCGTGGGCTCAATATTGTCATCAAGATGACTGGTTGTGAGGGGAAGCCCGTTGCAAAGCTGTCCGATGCCCCCGATAAAACTATTTGCCGCGACAACCAATTTCTTTCGGATCTGAAGCGTGCGTTTGGTTTGCCAATGGTGGCTGCTGCTGCTGCTGCCGCCCCCGCCGTCGCTGCGGCCGCGAAGGACGACATAATTCGAGGCCGACAAAATAACCCACATCGACTAAGCGAATGAGTCCTTTTCCCTCTCTTTCTCCCCCCCCCCCCTCCCTTACCCTAACCCTAACCCTCTTATGCACCTTCACGCACGCGTGCGCAGGCAGTTTGGAAATAAACCAAAAGCAGAATGAAAAGAAAAAAAGGAAGGGTCTTTGAAGAGCAGAAGAGTGGGGGAAAAAGGAAGGCAAGGCCAGAGTCAGTGTGGTGAGTAGCACACAAACGAGCACAAGAAAAAGAGGAGGTAAAAAGCAGTGAGTGACAAGAAAAGAGGCAGCGGGGATGGTGCTGGCTGGCTAGCGGGCGGCACGGGGGTGTGGCCACAAGTGTCCTTGCCCCTACGCAAATCTCACGGATATGTATGCACGTTACGGGGAGGACTTTTTCTGTTCGATGGGAGGGCAGGGGCTGACTGCGCAGCGCCCCAAGCGCTAAGAAAATGAGAGCAGCGGGGCAGAGAGAACAAGATGGCGGCGGGGGAGGGGGAGAAATAAAAAAGAGTGAAATAAAAAGGAGGAGAAGGAGCGTAAAGTATCGGCTCGATTCAGAGCAAAAACAACAACAACAACAACAGGGAACACTAAGAGGAAAGACAATGGAACCGCCGCTCGCTGACATGCTAGTCTTCTCCATGCTTGCACATGAGAGTGACAAGAGGAGACAGAGCCATTCTGAGGACGGCATGTGAGTTCCAATCAGCTTTTAAGGCCATCCGCTCCTTAGGCAAACTCCCTCCGCCTCATTTTTTTGTTTTGGTTTTCAGAGAGCCCGCCCGCGCCCGCCCATCAAAAATTTATTGTAGAATTTTATACAACAAAAAGTGATTTGAAAAATATATAATTGTAAGGGTGTCATGATTCACTAACTTGTATGCATGTTCTTCGTGGATGCACATATGCAGAACACAATGACATCGATTGCCTTTTCTAACCCTAAAGGAATTCGGAGCAAGTGCAAGAGAGAAGGATGTGTGGAGTGGGGGGGGGGTGGGTGGGAAATAGTGGTGTTCGCTGTTCCTCACTTGCTATGCGTGTCTCTATATGCCTACCTGTGTGCACACAGGTAGGGGGGATGTTGCTTAAAGGGAGGGAAGGTGGGACACCAAATAGCAAATAAAAGGGGAGCGGCAATACTAATAAAAACAACAACAACTGCGTGGCACCGCATCATTGGTCTATTGTTCATCTTGATCTGTGTGTCTTTGTCCCTGCATCTTTTTGTCCTCCTTTTGTACGCGCAAGGTTTTATTACTATTATTATTATGCTGCACTCAAACTCACTGTTGGTGCCGTTGTGGTTGTTTATGATTCTTAGTTCTTTTCCCTTTGGTTTGTGTGCTGTCCTTTTTTCCTCTGTTCCCTTTCCCCTCTTTCACGGTTGTTTTTTCCCCTCACTTGCTTTCTCTTTTTTGATGTTTCTTTCTTTCTTCTTGCCTCTTTGCGGGTTACTTCCTCCTCGGTAGCCTTGCCCACGCCGAGGGCCAGACACGCAGACTTCTTTGTTTTGTCCCAGTGAGTTATCTCACTGTGTCGAGCGAGGAGGGATCGACACTTCCGGCACCTCGCACCTTTTTTTTTGCTTACGTTTTATATTATTGTTGTTGTTTTTTTCTCGACGCATGTCTTGTGGAGATGTCTCACTTTGAGTTCCTTTCCTTATTTCTTGTGACTGATTTGCGTCATGTCTTATTTGCCGCTCACTCCCCCCTTTCTGCGCCTCTCTTCCTGCTAGAAGCATATAGGAGGGGGGAAGCGGTTGTGGGCCGTCTTTTTGCTGTGTTGGTTGAGCAAAGCATTCGATGTTAGAGGAGGCCGTGCTTGCTGGAAAGGCGGTGCAGTTGTGGGAGCTGCCAGCCTGTTTGCACGCGAACGAGCCGTTGCTGCGTGGGTTCTTCGCACGCCACTTTAACCGAACCGCCGCGGCTCGCATAAAAACAGTGGTGTTCAGCAACAATAGTCGGAATGCCGCGGAGGGAAGGTCCGGTGACCCACCTCCAGTGGGGAGCGAGGCTACGGTTGAGTTCTTCGAACCCGAGGGGGTTGAGTTGGTGCTGTCCCGGATCATCCAGCACGAGCTCCTGGAGCAGGACAAGCCCCACCATCTGGAGCTGAGGCGGGGGTTTATTTATTTGGGTCAAGACCGCATGCTAGTGGAGGGCGTCGTGCATCTCCTGCGGTCGTCATCAGCGGGGGCTAAGGACCTGCGTGAAGGCAATTGCTCTGCCGTGACGCGGGAAGGCGCAAAAAGGCCGGGCGCAAAGGGAGCCAGCCATGTTGCTGCTGCTGCTGCCAGAACCCATGCAACTGTCGACGACGCTGATGATAAGTGCAAGGGCGACGCAACTTTTTTTGGGGACTCTGGGGTGGCCAATGGACTGGATGAAGAGGAGGAAGAAGAAAACGTGGAGGCGGAAACGGATGACGAGGATCACGACAACGACAACGATGATGACGATGATTGTAGCGATGAGGATGGGGGTGAGGGAGCTGAAGACGCGCGCCAACGTGTAGGGAGAAGCGGCGGGCCCCAGCAACAAATGCGCCCGGTGGGTGGGGTGGATGCTGTGGTGCTCTGCATGACATTTGTGTGCGTATTTGATCTCCATCAGCAGGGTGGTGGTGTTAGTCGGCCGCATAAAGTCGATGAGGCCGGCGTTGGCATCACTCCGCACATCGTATTTCAGCTCTTGCGGGGGACCTGTTTTGTCAGGAAGATTGTCATATTTAACCGCGAGGCTTCGCTCGAGAGCGGCGGCGCTGCGAAGCGTCGCGTAGTTCGCGCCCTCGTTGAGGTGGGTGCGGAAGAGGATGCACAGAGGGTGGAGGAGGAGTTTCACGGAAAAATTCTGGAATTGACACGTCCAGGGCCGCGGGGGCATGAGGTGGAGTACCGTCACCGCATATACGCGCGGTACAAGGACGACCCGCACACGCACCGGCAGCTTGCTGTGCCACTAAACACACAAACGGCGCTCAGCGTCACACCGCGGAACATTGCCATGATGGGTCCTGTGTTTCAGCGACAGCGATGTGACCGTGAGACATCTGAGAGGAGTGAAGTGGTGCGGGAGGCCCTCGACGAGTATGGTGCAGCAGCCCACAGCAGGCAACAGGAGCAGCAGCAGCATCAGCACCAGCATTTCCATCACCGAGGGGATGACGTCATGGTAAGGGGTAGTGATAATAATGGGGGAGGTCAGGTCCGCAATAAAAGAAGGCGTGAGCGATCAAGTGGGGAGAGGTGTCGGCACCGCTCTAGGCGGCGGTTACACGACCGAGAGGATTCGGAAAAACGCCGCCGTTCCAGTCGTGAGCGTCACAGCCACCGTCAGCAGGGGGCCCATGAGGATGAGGAGAGGCGGGGCGAGCGCAAAGGGGTGCCCGCCGTGGCGGACAACGCCATGCAACACTCAGCGAGTACGGCCAGCAGCACGTTCGAGCACCACCACCAACTCTGGCAACAGTGGCAGCTGCAAAAACAACAAGAGTTGGAACTACAGAAGAAAGCTCAGCAGTATGGCTCTTTACATCTTTCCCCTCATGAGGGTTTGGGGGCTGCTGTGACGCAGACCCCTGGCGTGCAGTACCCACTGCCCCCCGGATGGCGAGCCATCTACTCCGATGAACATAGGCGATACTACTACGTGCACCGCGACCCGGTGACAGGGGCGGAATTATCTGCTTGGACGATAACACACATACCATGATGAGGTTTGGTGAAACGTGGCCGGGCGTTTTATGGATGGGGCTCTCGCCTCTGTCAGCCGATTGGAAGTTTCAAGGGACTTTCTGCGGTTAGTAGAAGCCGAGCGCAACGAAAATAAAAAGTAAATATTCGTACTGGACGAGCGATGGCTTTGGAAATGTTTTGCGACTAAGTTTGGAGAAACAAAAAAAAAGAAACAAACTTTGTTTCTGCCTTTATTGATTGGACACGTTTTTGATACACTGATAGTGCACGTCCATGATGTACATTGCATAGGCGCATTCGACATTACATTTGACATCTATCGTCTTGTGTTTCATCTTCCACTACTGGTAGATGGCGTTTTATGTGCGTGTGTGTGGTTTTTTTTTCACTGTTTGCCTCTGACTGCTGAATAATGTTTCTGTTTCATGTTTTTTTTGCTTTTGTCTTTAATGTGTATCTTTTTCTTATTGACTTTTCCCTCTGCTCCGTGAGGAAAACGATGCCGGATCAGTTGTTGGTGCTGATTGGATCTGATGGCAAGCAAGCAACCGTAAGTCGGTCTGTGGCGACGCAGGCCTCGTTGGTGCTGCGAGACCTACTCGACGGCAGGGAACCCACACGACACGTAGAACTCACCGCCGCCGCGACAGTAGCTCTGGCGAACAAGGCGCCTTCTGTTCAAATGGCGGCCGCAGAGAACACCACCGCCACGACTGCTTTTGCGACGTCCAGTGGCAATACTACTAGTAGAAGTGGTGGTGGCACCAATATTCCGGCTGTAGAGCTGCCGTTTCCCTACTTTACAGGTGATTTACTGCAGCGGATTTGTGCGCACATGACGTATCGGTACAATTATCAGCCACCGAACCGAGAGAGCGACACGGCAAAAGAGGCGAGCGGTAACAGTGGCGGCGAGGCTGCTGTGGGGCTTCCGGGACGAAATGTCATGCGCGAGATTCCTCGCCCGATGGTATTGCCACTATCTGAATACCTGGACCCCTACGACCGCCGCTTTATTGAGGACTGGGATGAGGCGACAACGGTGATGATGGTCAAAGCAGCAACCCTTCTCAATTATGAGGAGTTGCTGTGTTTGGCATCCGCAAAACTGGCCGTGTATTTATCAGGGAAGTCTGTTGAGGGTATTCGGGCCTTCCTGGGAGCAGAAGGTGACTTTACACAAGAAGCGGAGGCCGAGCTAAAGAAGGAGCTGAAGCGGGTGCTGGGTAGCCGGTAGTGGGTGAGGACAGGGAAGGAGAGAAGGAGAGGGATCAAGTTGATTTTCCTGTCTTGGCATTTATGTAAACATCAGGTCCATTACTGATTCTCTTTTACTCCTTCTCCTCTCCCCCTTTCCTATTTCTACCTACGTTTGCACTACGCCTCATTACATCAGAAATAATGGTTACTCTTGTTATTTCCACTGTTTTACCTTTATTAGCACTCGCAGGAAGGGTTGTATTTTTATAGTGTTTGTTTGCTGTGGGTGAAGCACTGCGATTAGGCCACATCATCCTCCCTATTAATTTTATTCTTACTTTGCTTCTTGGATGCAAGGGGGGCAGATCGCGGTGCCTATTTGCTCTGCGAATACTCGAGAGGGTGCGGAAGATGACCTCATAGCTGCACTTCCGGGCATCATAGGGCACAAGCGCATCGAGCAGTTTAATTCCGAGGTCGCTGGGCACCAAGGGCTTCTGAGACTGCTTGACGTCCACTGTGAAGATCCCACCGCGTGGAGCAATACTCCCGGTGTCCGTGGCGGGGTGCTGGCCACCTCCGTGCCCGAGCGACGAGCGCGGTTTGGCGCCAATCGTTTACCGCGCAGTCCGAAAAAAAGTTTTATGTCTTTTGCCAAGGAAGCTGTCGAAAGTGATCGAATCCTGCAACTTCTCATTGGTTCGGCAATTTTATCCATTTTGCTCGGTATGACGACGCCGGACTATCGCGAGGGGAAGGTCGATGTAAGTACGGGGTGGGTGGAAGGTGCGGCAATTTTTCTCTCTGTTTTCATTGTCGTGGTGCTGGGTGCGTTGAACAATTACAAGAAACAGGAACAGTTTTCGCAGGTCCTTGAAAGAGAGGATCAGACGCGACAACTTGTACTCGTTTGGCGCTATGAAACTGCCCCCGACGGGGAGCCGCTTCTTCGACCGAGGGAGATACACAATGAGGACGTTGTAGTGGGTGATCTTGTGCAGATATCTGCAGGCATGGAGCTGACGTTTGACGCCATTCTGTTTGATAACCGTCACGTTGTATGCGATGAGTGCAGTGTGACGGGCGAGAGTGAGGAAGTCGTGAAGGACCTCCACCGTGACCCCTTCTTGATTAGTGGCTCCAGCATTCTTGACGGTTCTTCCGACGCCGTTGCCGTTGTCTGTGCGGTGGGGGAAAATAGTTTTGCTGGGGAGATCGCCATGACAATTCATAGTACCGAGAAGAGGAATACACCCCTACAAGACCAGCTTGAGGTGCTGGCAGAGCGAATTGGGACGATTGGTTTATTAGCGGCTGTGTTAACGTTTACGGCGCTTTTCCTAAAAGAAGGCTATCGGATTGTGGTGTATGGCAGCCCATTTTTTGCCATGAAATTTTTTGAAAACCTCACCACAGCCATTGCCATCGTTGTGGTGGCAGTACCCGAGGGGCTTCCTCTATCGGTGGCGATTTCACTTGCTTATTCCATGCGTCGCATGCTGCAAGATGGAAATCTGGTGCGACACCTGGCTGCGTGTGAGACGATGGGTGGAGCCACTGTACTTTGCACGGACAAGACGGGTACCATTACGTCGCCCGACATGAAACTTGCCCGTGTTTTCTTTCAAGGTCGGAGTTATGCGAGGGCGGAGGATGCTTCAAACGGTATAATGGCTAGTCATGACGCCATTGTCACGCTTTCCTCACCACGCTCTGCCGCACACCTGATGGAGTGTGTTGCCGCTAGTGCCTTGGATCCGGAGTTGGGGCGGGCGCGGAGTAGAACTGGGGAGGCCCTAATGCAACTAAAGTCTAGTATGAGTGTCGTCGCGGAAGATGGGCGTATCACTCCCTTTTCCTATGATGAGGAGCCACTGTTGGCCATCATGCGAGATACATCATCCTGTGTTCGTTTTCCATTTAGTTCCCTTCAAAAAAAGAGTACGACGGTGCTCAAGCTTCCCAATGGGGTCTGTCGCGTGTACGTAAGTGGAGCGCCAGAGATGGTACTTGCTGCTTGTCAAAATGTTGTCGCAGAAAACGACCGCCTGGCTCCGCTGAACGACGCACGACGTGCGTACTATACGACCATTCTAAAGGACTATGCACAGGCTGGTCTTCGTACGGTTTGCTGTGCCTACGGGGATATTAACCCCTTGGAAGAAGCTGTAGGGCTCTCTGGCATGCCCCTGACTCCACCTAATGTCCCGTTAACCTTCTTGGTACTTATTGCATTAGAGGAGGCAATTCGTCCCGAGGTGCCAAGGTCTTTGGAACTCTGTGCCCGTGCCGGGCTGCGTGTGGTTATGATTACAGGTGACTCGACGCTCACGGCCATCAATATTGCGAGTCGTTGCGGTTTGCTAGCTCTGGAGCGACCCTCAGGTTTTGCTACTTGTCACAGCTCTTCATCACCATGTTCGCCCGCGTCGTTGCAGGCGGTAGATGCTCTCATCGCGGAGGGTTATGTGCTGAGCGGAACGGAATTCCGCAGCCTCAAGGATGAGGAATTGCTAGATAAATTTATGCGAAATCTTTGCGTCTTGGCCCGCGCCACCCCGTTGGACAAGAAGCGCGTTCTGCATCTCTTAAAGCTCCTCAACCCTCTGGCTGTGGTGGCGGTGACAGGTGATGGCACAAATGATGCCCCCGCCCTTAAAACGAGTGATGTGGGATTTGCAATGAATACTGGCAGTGACGTGGCAAAGCGTGCCTCCGACATTGTTCTCCTTGACGATAATTTTGCCGGTATGGTGAAGGCAACCATGTGGGGTAGAAACGTAAAGGACAACATCAGGAAATTCCTGCAGTTTCAGTTAACTGTGAATTGTGTGGCGTGTTTGATTGCATTCTCTGGCGCGCTTATGAACGAGCAAAACATGTCACCACTGAAGCCGGTGCAATTGCTCTGGCTCAACCTCATCATGGACACCTTGGCGGCACTGGCTCTGGCAACGGAGTTGCCTTCTGAGTCCACGCTTCTCTCGCGTCCGCCAGAGTCTCGTAACACGCCTGTGATACTGCCTAGTATGTGGTTTCAGGTGGCAACGCAGGGCGGGTTTCAGTTCCTCACGCAGATTCACCTGCTTTTAACCGGCAATAAACACTTTAAAACCAAGCATGCAGCTGAGGGGTTGCCGAACACGTTCCCCGTCATGGAGCACTTTGGGCCCAAGCATCTCTCCATTGTGTTCAATGTGTTTGTGCTCATGCAGGTGATGAATTTTTTTAATGCCCGTCTTTTAAATCGGGACGAAACCTTCTTTGGGCGCTGGGGCGATAGTTCAGGCCTGTTGTTGATTGTGTCCCTGATTGTGGTCTTGCAGGTATGCATTGTGCAGTACGGTGGCCGCCTGATGTCAACAGTACCATTAACGACACACGAGTGGATGGTTTGCATCGGGTATGCCAGCACGAGTCTCGTGGTGGGTGCGATCTCGCGGTGGTGGTGGTGGAAAGCGCCCCGTGGCGAGGGAGGCGGTACTGCACACTGGGCACGGTGGCGCCTGGAGAATCTCCGCAGTCCATCGACCGAAAAGCGTAGCTAGTGAATGTTTTAAACCGATCATTAAAAAGTAACAACAGCAAATCCAGCAACGAACGAATCGTGAGCGACGTTGTTGACTTCTTCACATGTCTTTTGACACTCTACTCTGCCGCGGTCAATACGGGATGGAATGAGGGGGGTGGGAGAGCGATAGAACCAGCGCAAGAGAGGAATAGCATCGGCGAGAGAAGGAGCGGGATGAACACGACGAGGGAGGTGGGGGGAGTGGAAATGGATAGTGCATGGGTTTGAGCGAGTAAAAAATAAAAATAAAATAAAAGAGACAAAACAAAAACAACAACAACAACAACAAAGAAGCTTCATGCTGTTTTCTCCTTCCCGCCGCCCTGCATGTTTTTTCGGGAGCTTGTGGCGTGTGCATACCTGCGCTCGTTTACCTGTGTCTCTATGTATCATTTGTGGCACACTCTGCTTGCTTCTTGGCGTTTCCTTTCTTTGTTGTGTGCGCCACCCATCGGAGGTAAAAACACACGAATGTGGCAATTGTCCTGTGCGCCGGTGGTTTTATTTTGTTGTGTTTTTGGGTGGGTGGGTGTTTTCTAACTTTCTTGTTTTTTAGAGGGAGGTGGATAGAATGTGCGACACGACTGGGACAGGGCGCAGAGGGTGCGTCTTGTTGAACCGTTCCGATGTTTTTTATTGTTAATTGATTTAAAATTTCAATTATGGCCGTGTTGGAAGGCGGTGAGTGCAGTTTTTTTTTAAAAAATATATTACTATTATTATTTGCTGTTTTTGTTCTTGCTGCTCATCGGCTATGGAGTTCTTACTCTACAAACACGCACACATAAAGTTCCTGAAATGGATGCGTTGAGGATGTATTTCTGTATGTGTGTGTGTTGTATATAGAGTTGTGCCTCGGAGTGCATGGGCGATCGCTGCCATTATTTGATGTTGTGGTGCGCTGGAGTTTGGCGTGTGCCTCTAGGCATACGTGGGTTTCTTCCCCCAAGAGTCTCTCCCTCTCCCTCTGTGCGTGTATTTCCTCTTTATTCCACCTTTACTTCGGCGGGCATGACATGTCAGTGGTGTCGGGGTGATACACACTTACTTTATAGAAGCACCGGTTGCTTTCCTTTCTGCGTGTGTCTGTGTGTGTGCGCTCTCTCTCTCTCTCTCTCTCTTGTTGGGTTGTTGGGGGGCCGCCGGTGTTCGGAGCTCGCTGTGTGCGGGGATGCACGATCAACGGAGAGTGCGCCGCGAGGTTGACGAGGCCTCGCGGGAGCGCGAGCGCGCCGAGGTGCAGGCATTCACCTCTCTCTACGACGCCCTGATGAGGCAACGCGCTGCTCACGTCTACTCGGAGGCGGTCCTGTTGCAGCTGTCGGAGCTGCTCTGCAAGAACCCAGAGGCGTACTCGATGTACAACTACCGACGCAATGTCCTGCTGCATCTTTGGAAGGAAATGCGGGGAAAGCGGGAGGAAGGCGTCGAGGCAATCGAGGCCGCCAAAGAAGTCACAGATATGGAGGGCGTTCCAAAGGCAGGTGCCTCGCCCCCGTCACGGACTGAGGAAAGGGACCCACGGACCGCCGTAAAAAGAGAGATGGAGTGTCTCAAGGAGGAATTGAGGCTAAGCTCAAAGATACTTCTTCGCGATTACAAGGTGTACGCCGCGTTTGTGCACCGGCGTTGGATTTTTGCGCAGCTCAAGCGGCTCGCCAAAGACGCCGTCCTCGCCGCTACTGCCGCAGATGCCGCCGGTGTCACTGGGCGAGGCCCTTCTGCCAGTGTGGATTGCCCAGAGGAGGTGCGTTTCTGGTCTTCTGTGCTAATGAAGGAGAAGGAGCAGTGCGATGCGTTGCTCGCGGTGGACGAGCGCAATTTTCACGCTTGGAACTATCGCCGGTGGGCGTTGCGGGAAATAGCGCAGATGGAGGAACTCCTCGCGCGGTACTCCGTCGACGCGGCCGAGGAGGCGGTGCCCAGTGTGAGACAGCAACAAGAAGAGCAGCCCCAGTCACGTGGCGACGCGGGTGGTGCAACACCGCGTGGCTCGTTTTTCACTGCTGACGAGCTGAAGGAGTTGAAGTTTACCACAAAAATGGTCCAGAGGAACTTTTCCAACTACAGCGCGTGGCATCAGCGTGGATTACTCATCAAAACGGCGCTTCAACGACTGCAGCAAGGGACGGAGGATGATGTTACGCGTGACGCCAAATTGAGGGAGGCGTGGGCGCAGCTGGAGGAGGAGTTGGGGCTTTTTACCACTGCGATTTTCTGCGATCCGTCGGACCAATCGGCGTGGTACTACGTCCAGTTTCTCAGCCGGGCAGCCGACACTTTGCAGCACATCTCGCCTGCGCACCGCGCTGAGTGTAGCGACTTTATACTGCGTCCGATTCAGGCGTGCATAGAGCTTTTGACCGAAGAAATGCGGCTGGGCGAGGAGACAGATATGTACTGGCCTCGCTACTACCTCTTCAGCGTACTACTCGCCTCCTGCGGTTGCGGCAATAGCAATAGCGACACGAAGAACAGGGCGACAGCTGCAGTGACTGCGCTGGCACGCGACATACGGAGAGCGCTATGCCACACTGATTTACCCAGCGACACTAGTGACATTGAGGAGGATCGTCTGTGGTGTCTGCGGGAGCTCGCTGCGGAGTTGGTGCGGGCGGACCCTATGCGTGCCGGCATGTACCGAAGCCTTCTCGCTGCTGCTGTCAGTTGAGGCGGCGCAACGAGCTGAATGGCTCTGGTGTATGCAACGACGAAGGGCAAAACAAAACAAACCAAAACGCGCTGTGGAGTCAAAAGACACATAATCACACAGTGAGAGGGAGGGGGCGGAAGTGAAGGGCGCCAGGCAGGAGGCGAGGAAATAGTCCCTCACGAAGAAATGCATACATAATGATAACGAAAAGAGAAAAAAAAAAAAGTCCGTTTGCCTTTTTTTTTTTATTTTACGCTGGGCATAAATACGTCTCACCAGCATCCGCTCAGTTTATTTGTCGTTGTCTTCTTCTTACTCCCTCTGCCTCATTTTTCATTCATTCCCCTGCTTCGTTCTTTTGTCTTTTTTTTTTGTCGGTGCATATGTGTGTTGCTCGTTGAATCCACAGCGTCTTCAACTCGGTATTTTCGCCGGCGTCTTCCGTTGCCCGTCCAGAGCGAAAAAAAAAACGAAGGAAGCGTGGGCGTGTTCCAGGCGTTGTTTCTCGTACACCTGCAGTAGATCACGGAAGAGAAATGGGATGCAAGAGCTCAAAGGCGAAGGAGCCGACCGCGCGGCCAGCCACCAAGAAGCAAGATAACGCGCCCACCCCCACCAATCCCAGCGAACCCGTGGTCGCCCCAACCGAGCAACACGCGAAGCAGCCTGTGGATACGAAAAAGCTGGAGGTGGTGGCCCCCGTGGGTCGTGCCGGCAACAGCGAGGCGGTCGACACCGGATCACCGGCCGGGCCGCCGAAGGTAGTTGCAGGCCAAGGCGGCAGCGACACCAGGCGGGCGACATCAAACACCACCTCAAAGCAGGAGCTGGATGACGAAGGCAATCCGCTGCTTCTACCGAACGGTGATTGGGTAAGGACGGAGGGCACGCCGTTTTACTATTCGGAGAAGGAGAACTTGTACTTCCACCCGCCCAGCTGCCAGTTCTACGACCCGACAAACGAGATGTGGTACGACCCGGAGAAGGACGAGTGGTACTACGACGAAGAAAACGAGGCGCATACGTAGAGGGATATCCCCCTTTGTACTTTATGAGGGGGAATAAAAGGAGTGATGCATAGATGGGAACAAGAAGGGGAGCAGGGAAACCAGGGGCTGCATGGGAGCGAAGACAACATAGAAGGGAGGGGCTGACAAGGGGAGGAGGAGAGGGAGAGCGAGGGGGGGGGCGGGGGCGAACGAACTGCGAGTGTGCGTAGGAGAGAAGGAACACGGGTGCAAGAAGAACACGACCTGGCATAACAAGAGGAGGATGTGGGTGGTTGATGGGAACTTGTTGGGATGGCGATGGGAATGCGTGCCTCTTGTGGGGGATGCAAGCGAGAGTCCCACCTTTGCTCAACAACTCCTCCATTGTTTTTCCCCTGCGTATGCATGTATGAAAAAAGGGCAATGAAGAAGATGTGGTGACGGTGTTGGACCGAGATTAATGCGTGTCGCTTTTGGTTTGTTGGCCTTGCCCTTACCTGTTATTCCGTTTGCACTAGGTACGTCGCACGAACCCACCCAGAGGCGGACGTCCCAAAGGTAAGCGAGGGAAAGAGGATTGCCCTGGGCGAGAGACATGGGGAACAGCAACCAGCAACACACACACACACACACACACACGCGGGAAACTTTGAAGGAAGATGAAAGCGGTGGGGTGGACTGAGGCGTGCTGCTGAGGATAGAGAGCGAGTTTTGTGAGTGTGGGTAGTTACAGTTACGCGTGCGTGGAAAATATGTTGTCTCTCTGCTTGTGTCGGCTTGGGGGGTTGCCACTGCGGTGATTGTTTTTCCCCCTTCGCACAACCTTTACACTCCTAGGGTGTTGTAGAACCTTCTGGATTTGTTACTATTCGTTTTCTCAAGCGTCTTTTTTTTTCTGTGTGTGTCTTGGGGGAATAGAGGAGTCTGCGTATTTGAAGGTGTGCTTCGTGACACACACACACACACCTTGACTAAGAGACGAGGGTGAGAAAGGACAGAAGGAGTTGATGAAGTAATATATATATATCGAGAGAACTGCACAGAAAGCAGCAAAGGAGCAAGTTAAATAGCTGTTGTATATATGTGTGTGTGACACTCTCTTTGATTTTGGCAGCTTGCTGCTTGTGTTCACTCTCACTCTTGCCTTCGCTCTGTCTGACTGTGTTGCCTCGTCCCTTCTTATCCACCGTTTTGTTTTTCTTTTGTTTCATTTTATTATTATTATTATATATATTTTTTTGGTTGTCACTGTCGGCTCCGAGGGAAAGGCAGTTTTTGGTATTTGTCTTTTGCGCGTGTGTCGGCATTGTCACTGCCGCTGCAGCAGCGGTTGACACGCTTTGCACACCGCACGGAAGTACTCGGCGGGGTGCAGGGCGATGGCATTCATATCCTCGGATCCGTACTTCTACGACAATGAGATTGACCGCATGCTGGCGGAGATGCGTGCGCGACGGCAGCAGCAGAAGCACTTGAGTAAACAGCGACAAAAGCCCGCTGAGCAGAGGTTACAGGCGAGGCGAGGCGCCCCGGCAGACCTCTTTACTTCGCTGCTGGAGCGACAGCAGTCCATGGAGGCGGCTGGGCGACGTGCCTGTTCACCGCCGAAGTCCTCCCTCTTGGCAGAAGCCGAGGAAGGGGGACCTTTGCCACGCCACAACGTCGTCGCCTGCACCCATCCACGGCTTCAAGAAGAGGAAAAGGGGGAGACACGAAGCCATCCAAGCGCTGACATCTCCAACGACGAGTCATCAACAGAATTTTTGCGGCGTGAACTTCGTCTCGCGCGGAACGAGAATGCGCTTCTGCGAAGGGAGATGTACAGAACGCTCACTACCATAGGCCGCTATCTCGCCAAATTAGACGGCAAAGAGAGTGTTCGCCCTGCACTTGACTTAGACAGTGGTATGGCCGAAGGCACGGCGGGGGGCAGTGAGCATGACTCCCCCCTCTCCCCTCTCCCCCCCGCAACAAGTGTGTGGGAGCTGTGCGATCGTGGGGAGCTCCCACTCAGTTCCGAGGAGGCGGCGGTGGTGCGCGACCTCAACGGCGTCATTGCATCCTCGCTGCAGCGTTACGCCAGCCTGGAGAAGAAGTTCTCCTCGCAGGGCTCTCACATTCTGCAGCTGGAAGGGAAACAACGCCGCGAAGAGCCCGAGCGCTACAAGGGCATTGAGGAAGATGCGCCAAACGGACGAACACGGTGAACACGAATAAAACACGACCTACAGTTTGCCGTGGACCATCTCGGGGAGTGCTGACGTTCCTCCAGAATGCTCGAGGTTAACTCTCATGCCTCCCTCCAGCTCCTCACACCCCCTTGAAGAAAAAAAGTGTGGGGGGGGGGGGGAGGAGGAGTGGAGGG